CACGCACCACAACGAAGAGTAGACCCCGCTCACTGCAACTAGAGAAAGCCCAGACGTAGCAACGAAGACCCAACATAGCCCAAAATAAATTCATTCATTAATTAAAAACAATCTTTAAAAACAAAAAAATCTCAATACAGTAGGAAAGACAGAAGTCTACCTGACAGGCCTGAAGAGAATGTGAGATAAGGAAGTAAAGAGGACAACTAGAGATAATTTTTTTTTTTTTGGTGGTACGCGGGCCTCTCACTGTTGTGGCCTCTCCCGTTGTGGAGCACAGGCTCCGGACGCACAGGCTCAACAGCCATGGCTCACGGGCCTAGCCGCTCTGCGGCATGTGGGATCTTCCCGGACTGGGGCACGAACCCGTGTCCCCTGCATCGGCAGGCAGACTCCCAACCACTGTGCTATCAGGGAAGCCCCTAGAGGTAATTTTTTGAAGAAGTTCATCTATGAAGCGGAGGAGAGAAATGATGTGATCACCAGGGAAGTTAGAAAGAATATATTTAAAGTAAATGGTCAGTAAATTTAGTGAAATTGGTCACCAACAGAATGACGAGTAAGAAAAGCCAACTTTTTTTTTTTTTTTTTTGGCTGCACAACGTGGCATGCGGGATCTTAGTTCCCCAACCAGGGATCGAACCTGTGCTCCCTGCAATGGAAGCACGGAGTCCTAACCACTGGACTGCCAGGGAAATCCTGAACTAAACTCTTACAGAATGTCTTTATATATAGAAAGATGAACATAAAAACAATACATTTCTTATGAGCACTCATATATACCTGAACACAGAGAAAGAGATTTTGATAGGCTGTACGGCAAACTAATATCAGTGGTGACCTCTGGAGAAGGGTAGAAACTGGGCCTGGCTTTTTTTTTTTTAAATTAATTTTTATTGGAGTACAGTTGATTTACAATGTTGTGTTAGTTTCTGCTCTAGAGCAAAGTGAATCAGTTATACATATATCCACTCTTTTTTAGATTCTATTCCTATATAGGTCATTACAGAGTATTGAATAAGAGTTCCCTGTGCTGTATAGTAGGTTCTTATTAGTTATCTATTTTATATATAGTAGTGTGCATATGTCAATCTCAGTCTCCCAATTTACGGGCATGGCTTTGATCACCAACAGAATTTTTGTCTCATCTTTAATTTTTGAAAATTTTACAAGGTTTTACATTTATCACGTGTAATTAACAAATATATATTTTTAAAGGATACAAAACAATGTAAATGGTATGAGGACACAAAACTATATTTAAAAAGTCAGTCACATAAGACTAAAGAGATATGACAACAAAAGGTAACACGTGGCCCTGGACTGAATTCTAGATTAAAAAACAACTTTCTTTTGTTGTAAAGGACACTCATAAGACAACTGGCAAAATTTGAATAAGGCCAGTAGATAAGATCATAGTATCAGTATTAATTGATTTAAGTTCCTGATTTGATAACTATATGGTGATTATACAAAAGAATGTTCTTCCTTTCAGGAAATACATAGTGTATTTAAATGCTAGGGGCACTGTATCTGCAACTGATTCTGAATAGCTTCGGGGGGAAAAATATAGATAGATACAGAGAAAGAGAGAGGAGAGAGAAGGAAAAATGAAATGACTGAGAAACCTAAAGGGGTAAAAAGTTGACATTTGGGGAACCTACACATGGAAATTCTTGTACTACTTTTGCAACTTTTCTGTAAGTCTGAAATTATTAAAACAACAACACCACACTTGTATTCTGGTTTGGTTACCTACCAAAGCTGAACCTTCACATACCATGTGATCCAGCAATTCCACTCCTAGGTATATACCCAAGAGAAATGAAAACGTACATCCTCACAAAAACTTGTACACGAATGTACATAGCAGCATTATTCATTACAGCCAAAAAGTGGAAACAACCCAAATGGATAAAATGTGATATACACAACGGAGTATTATTCGGCAATAAAAAATGAAGTACTGATACATGCTACAACACAGATGGATCTAGAAAACATTAGGCTGAGTGAAAAAGGATACACACAAAAGATCACATACAGTATGATTCTATTTACTCAAAATGCCCAGAATAGGCAAATCCAAAAGAAGACAGAAAGTAGTTTAGTCATTGCCTACTGCTGGGAGGTTGGGGAAAATGAGGGTATGTGATTTTCTTGGGGTTGGGGGGTAGATAATGAAATTATTCTAAAATTGATTGTAGGGACTTCCCTGGCGGTCCAGTGGTTAAGACTCTGTACTTCCAATGCAGGGGGCGCAGGTTCAATCCCTGGTCAGGGAACTAAGATCCCACATGCTGTGCAGTGTGACCAAAAACAAATAAAATGAAATGAAACAAAATGAAATGAAATAAAATTGATTATAGTGATGGCTACATAATTGTGAATATAATAAAAACTAAAACCACTGACCTGTGCACTTTAAATGGGTGACCTGTATACCATGTAAATTGTATCTTAATAAAGCTTAATTATTAAAAATATTTAATAGCCCCAAATTGGAAACAAACCAAATGTCCGTCAACGGTTAAAATGAATAAATAGATTATGGTATATGTATACAATGGAATGAAATACAGCTACAACCACACACAACAATGTAGATTAATCTCACAAAGTGTTGAGCAAAATAAGCCAGCCATAAAGGAGTATATGTGTGATTCTATTCACAAAATTAAAAAATTTGATGACATTATAAGTCAGGAAAAGGGTTACCCTTAGGAAAGGGATTGGTAATGACTAGAAGGGGATAAAAGGAAACTTTAGGATTGTGGGTTTTTTCTTGATATTAGCGCTGATTACACAAATGTGATCACTTTGTGAAAATTCATCAATCTGTGGACTTCTGATATGTGTACTCTTCCGCCAGCATATTTCAATAAAAAGTTTACACTAACAACAACAACCAAACAAAGCCATGAACCTTTGCATGATATGAACCTGAAAACAAGGCAAAATATGGTACATCTGGGTACTAGAACTATGGATGAATTTTGCCCCCTCTACCTTTCCTGTCTAAAAAATTTTAAAGTAAACATAACTTGGGCTTCCCTGGTGGCGCAGTGGTTGAGACTCCGCCTGCCGATGCAGGGGACACGGGTTCGTGCCCTGGTCCGGGAAGATCCCACATGCCGTGGAGCGGCTACGCCCGTGAGCCATGGCCGCTGGGCCTGCGCGTCCGGAGCCTGTGCTCCGCAACGGGAGAGGCCACAGCAGTGGATTCAACCAACTGCAGATCAAAAATATTAGAAAAAAGGAATTCCAGAAAGTTCCAAAAAGCAAAACTTTAATTTGCTACATACCAGCAACTACCTACATATCATTTACATTGTATTAGGTATTATAAGTAATCTAAAGATGATTCAAAGTACACAGGAGGATGTGTGTAGGTTATATGCAAGTAGTATGCCATTTTCTATAAGGGACGTGAGCATCCCTGAATTTTGGTACCTGCAGGGATCCTGGAGCCAATCGCCTGCAGATACCGAGAAACAACTATATTTCATAATTTACAGAAAACATGCAGAGAAATTTGAAGTGCAGAAGGGGGAAGCTTCGAAAGTTATCAGATGACTGGTCTCAAAACACAGTACGAACTATTAATTTAGTTTCCATTATCATTTCGGTCATTAAAAGTGCAACTTCATCATACCGTACAAATATATCAGGTTATATAACAGCTGAAGAGTAGCTTTAAAGTAAGAATATTGGTGGAGGAATGTACAGATGATATACTTATAAAATTACATCTTCAAGTCAGTTGTTTAGTTTCTTCTATATATTAGTTAACTAAAAATTCAAGTATCACGTCATAATCTTAGCATGCCATATTAGTTTCATTTTTTAAAAACTTTAAAATTTCCTGCTAAACTACAATAGAACATGTCTGCAACAGATAGATGCATAAAACGAGAAGTTTGGAGCCTCAGTCCCTAAGGTCCAGTTTGGCATTTATCACACCAGACTTTCACTGTGCACAAAAATAACTTATTTTTTTGTCTTTCTTTTCCTTTTACTTGGAGGTGGGGTGGGGGAGTTGGGGGTATTATCCTTCCTTTTTCCCTCTCCTACAACCCATTTTATTTCAAATCAAAATAGAAAGACTAATGAGATTAGAAAATAATTTAGAAAAAGTTTCACTAAATTAGAAAATGTACACATTCATCCCTTGATAGCCATGGGGGGGGAATGAGTTCCAGGATACACCCCCATCCTGCCCTGCCACTGAACACCAAAATCTGCGGATGCTCCAGTCCCTTATATAAAATGGCATAGTACTTGCATGTAACCTATGCACATCCTCTCATATACTTTAAATCATCTCTAGGTTACTTATAATATCTAATGCTATGTAAATAGTTGTCAGCATGCAGTAAATTCAAGTTTTGCTTTTTTGGAACTTTCTGGAATTTTTTTTCTTCGACCATTCACAGTTGGTTGAATGCATGGATGTGGAACCCGTGGATACAGAGGGCCAACTGTAATAAAAATAACCTAATAATATGAAAGATTTTTAAATGCACTACAACTATACTTAGTGGGGACAATACAACAGTAATTTTAGCCTTAGATAGCTGTATTGTTTAAAACTGTAAGGTACAGACATACCTTGCTTTATTGTACTTTGCAGATACTGTATTCTGCACAAATTGAAGGCTGGGGCAACCCTGTGTTGTCAGACAGTAGCTAGCTTTTCTTGGCAATAAAATATTTTAAAATTAAGGTATGTACACTGCTTTTAAGACATAATGCTATTACATACGTACTAGAATACAGTATAGTGTAAACATAACATTTATACGTACTAGGAAACCAAAAAATTCATGACTCGCTTAATTGTGATGCTCACTTCATTGCAGTGGTCTGGAACTGAACCTGCCTATAGTTTTCAACTCTTAGGATCTACCTAACATAAGAAACCACTTTTTAGTCACAAACGAAACAAAGTCACAAAACCACAAAGTGACTGTCAGGAAAGATGCTGAGTGATCACTTACCATATAGTAACCAGTATGATAACCACTCATGTACCAAGAGATTAACATACTTCCCAAAGCATCAGCATCATCCAGAGAATCTGGACACATAGGAGGTGGTGGGGGAATTATCTGGAAACAGAGAAAGATACACTTTAAAATCAGTACACAAAAACATAAGGTCTGGAAACCTATTTTACGTACAGAATGCTGGATGTTAGTTGTATCTTTCCCTACATTCCATGTCATCTCCTAGTTAAAATTTTTTTAAAAATCTGGGATTTGGAGAAAGCCAACCAGTAACAACAACAAGAGACCAATAAAATTAAATTGAATAAGAATCAAAAGGCAACAGGTCACATAAAATATTTAAACATTTTGCTTTCATTAGTCCTATTTTTCTGTTCCATTATGAAGCTATAGGTAAAAGACAAAGGATAAATACTTCTATGGTTTTCCTCAAAAAACACCCACACAGCGTTTTCAAGTAAAATTTCTGGCTAGAACATCTGCACGGCCCCCACCCCAATGCAGTCTGCCAAAAAGTGTCTTTGTATTTTGCCTATTGTTGATATCTGGACAGTCTACGTGATCAGACCATGCCTGGAAGGGTAAAACATTAATCCTAAGGTATGGTGTAAATAAATCCTTTTGGATAGGCCCTATCTCCCTTAGAATGAGATACTGCTGCTGGGAAGGAAGCATGAATAATATGGGCTATAAGAGAACTGAGTCTGGGTAGCAGAAGGTCATTAAAAACAAAAACCCTGGGACTTCCCTGGTGGCGCAGTAGTTAAGAATCCGCCTGCCAATGCAGGGGACATGGGTTGAAGCCCTGGTCGGGGAAGATCCCACAAGCCGCAGAGCAACTAAGCCCGTGTGCCACAACTGCTCCTGCGCTCTAGAGCCCGCGAGCCACAACTACTGAGCCCGCGTGCCTAGAGCCCGTGCTCCGCAACAAGAGAAGCCACCGCAGTGAGAAACCTGGGCACCGCAATGAAGAGTAGCCCCCGCTCACCACAACTAGAGAAAGCCGCGCACAGCAACGAAGACCCAACGCAGCCAAAAATAAAAAACAAAAACAAAAAAACCCTGAAGTTTAGTCCGAATTTTTACCCATCAGAACCTGGCTGTGACATTTCTGAACTACCTATGTTCTGCTAAATCCCAAACTGTGTATGAAAGCAAAGTTTAATCTGAATTCTTTTGCACTTACTGGTGGTCCAGAAGGAAATGGAGGCAGCCAGGATGACGGGAAGGGTGGCGGCGGCGGGCCACTGAATTTTAGACCTGGCTGTAAAGAACATTTCAAAGAAAGACCAATTTAACAGTTTCAATATGTGAAGAGCAAAAAAGAATTCAATGTCAAAAGAATCGAAATAATTGTCCAGAATAATATTTATATTATTCATATCAAAACGGTTAAATAGAATTTCACGTACCAAATGCTGAAGTCATATATACTCATAAATTTAGGTTTTTCTCATTTCCTTTCTATGTAGACATTCAGGCAGTAAAGCCAAAGTAAGAAAAATTTAAAATTACCTAATAAATCAGAGACCGTATACTCAGTAAGACATTTCCATCATAAAAGACCAAAAGACCATATCTCCCACAATTTCATTAATTAAATTGCATAATCTATTGGATGTCCTTTCAATTACATATGCTAATTTAGAGCATATATTATAAAAATTAGTGTCTCTCACTTAACAAGAAAAATCAGCCCCCTGAGACCAATGAAGCATGTTTATTATGTATATAAATTAAGAGGTCTGACCATTCTGAAAAATGTAATAGAATATAAACCTCAATAAGGAAGCTCTCAACAGGGAATCCTAAGGAAAAGTTTTAATGTCATGCTTGATTTTAAAAATCTTTATTATTATCACTGCCTGAAGAAATCAATGCTTTATACAAAACTACTGGACGGGGACTTTGATTCCATGATATAACCTAAAGTAAAAATAGTTTTTGTTTAAGTTGATTTGCTACTGATAACCAAAAGAACCATGAATAAAAACAGCATTTACATTTTGCTCTACAAAACAGTCTGGGAGCTTCTTTGGATTTCACCTGTATCAGATGTAAATACTGTGTTCTCTTCCAATTTTTATATACCTTATACAAGTGACACAGAGAACTACAGCACAACATCCAGCTGATGATAAAATATTATACTTTCAAACTTAAGTTTGCTAAACTATTTTTTTTATTAATTTTTATTGGAGAATAGTTGCTTTACAATGTTGTGTTAGTTTCTGCTGTACAGCAAAGTGAATCAGTTATACATATATACATATATCCCCTCTTTTTTCGATTTCCTTCCCATTTAGGTCACCACAGAGCATTGAGTAGGGTTCCCTGTGCTATACAGTAGGTTCTTATTAGTTATCTATTTTACACATAGTATAGTATATATATCAATCTCCAAAAGTTTGCTATTACTCTAATATACCTAATACTCTATAAAAATTGTTAGGAAAGGCTTTCATTATAAACTATTCTGCATTACTATCTTATTTCCTTTACAAAGAATTCTCAGGTATATATTTACAACATCTATGGAAAGCTACTAAAGTTTCATGAGGGAAATCCCTAGCAGTCCAGGTGGCCCGAGTTCAATCCCTGGTCCAGGAACTAAGATCCTGCAAGCTGCAGGGCGCAGCCAAAAAAAAAAGTTTCGTGAGAAAAGCTACGAGTCACTTCATGGAGGGGCTGAATGTTCCAATACTATATTAACTATTTCCTGGAAAACCTTTTCTGGGTAGTTTACCTTTCCTGGTCCCAGACCTGGTCCTGGCATATGGGGTGGTGGAGGGTGAAAAGAGTTCCATGGAGCAGCTTTTGACTTGACGCTATTTGGTTTATTTACAGGAGACCTGGAGGAGTTCTCGCTTTCATCTGTTGAAATTTGACTTTCATTTTCATTCTTTTAAGAGAAAGAAATACATGTACTTTTGTTATAAAGGCAACATTAAGAAAAATATAATGCTCAGGGGATCAAACTGACAACCAGTTATACTGCTTAATTTCTCATCTAGTTTCTGCTTCCAAGAATTCCATTTTTTTATCCTTACCTCCTGAGCATTCTGTTCTATATTATTAGCTACTTCAGAGGTTGTGGAAAGTAGATCAGACAGATTTTGCTCCTCTCTATTTCCATATCCAGTGTAAATGACAACACAGGTTTCTCTCTTAAAGTCAATCGAAGCAATGGTAGCTGGGTAAACACAGCCATCTTCTGACCAAATGGCAGCACATTTGTCACCAACTTTCCACTATAAGAGAAACCAAAGATAGACACATGCACATTTCTTTAAAAGAGGGTAAACTATAATCTTGTTTGGGTGGAGTGGGGTTGGGGGTGGAGGGGACAGTCTCTGGTTAACTGTTCTGGGAGGCAGAATGTTATAGTGAAAAAACTTGGGGCCAAAACCACAGAAATCTGAATTCTAATATAAATATAACATGACATAGTCCTGCCATTTATATAATCATGGACCAGTTTCTTAATCTCCTTGAGTCTTATTTTCCTCATCTGTTAAGTGGGTGTAGTATAATCTGCCTCACATATTTGTTGTGAAGAACAGAAAAGAGGGGAAGCATGTAAAGCGTCCAGTACGCTAGCCCAACACATAGCACGTGCTTATCAAACATCAGCTCTCTTCCCCCTTGGTAATGATGAAACTAAAGCAACTAATGAGACACCAAAATAATTAGCTTCTATGTGGACTGTTTTAAATAGCAGAAATGACTCTACCCAGAGTATCTGGTCCCCAGGTATTACCAGTTTTAGGATTTTTGAAGGAAAAAAAAAGGATACCTCTCTCAGATTTAGAAAAGTCAAACACTGCCAATTCAGTTTAAGCCTTCAGGTACTTCTTCCAAGTTGCACTGCCTTCCTCCCCTCTACCCCCAACATAAACACTGTCCTGAATTTAGTATTTATCATTTCCTCCTAATTCTTTATATTAACATGCATGTTCCTAAACAACAGAAAGTTTAATAGGTGCTTTAGAAATTTTATGTCAATAGAAAACACTGTCCTAATAATTTAAAGGTACTTTATACTATTTAATAAGGACAGTAACAAGAAATTCTTTGAAGTTAAATCTCAAGGTTTTAAAATAACCTGCTTCAAGGGAGTTGTGGTATTCTTTCTTTGGCTTTTATTCTTCTTAGCAGGTTTTCTTTTAGGTGCGCCTTTTGGTTTTTCTGAAACTTCGGGAATGTCACCGTTCTTTAGAGCGTGCTATGAAAACATGAATAGAAACGTACATATTACAGGGTGATATTAAGAAAGTCACAATATAACTCAGTCACTATAAACTGGTCTCCAGGCCCCACCGTCTCAGATAGCTTCTATTTCCTCTCTTCACCATCCCACATGCTAAGAAACTGCTCTTGAAGGTATCATATATCTGATAATCAGCTCTAAGGACCCTTATAAGCAAGTCTCCTCACTCTCAACCTTTCCATAACATGAGACTCTGTCAATCATTTTTCTTTTTGATAGTCACAACATTTTTGATGACATAGCAATGTTGGGCCCTAATTCTTTTATTATTTCTCTGATCAAGTCTAAAACTTGGGCATTCCCAACAAGAACTGGCCATTCTTCTTTACCAGCTTATGATCACCTATTCCTATTACTTCAATTATACTTTCTATGCAAACAAACTTCCAAAGCTATTATCCAGCTCTGACTTTTCTCCTTAGTTCAACATTTCCAATTACCAATTTCATATCTTCACATTTACCTCAAATGCAACACAATTAAAAGTAAACTATCTCTTGCCCAAATCAGTTCTCTTTCTCTGCTCAGTCTACCTCCCTGTGCAGTATCACCAACCCCGTCCCACATTGAGCCCCATCTGCGTTTTATAGAACTCTCTTGGTAACTCTGCATTAGTGTTATTTCTAGTCTAAATGTATGTTGGAAAGCATGTTATTGACAAATTCAGAGTTCAGCTTCAAGGATGACATACAGATCTGACCTTTACCTCATGCTACAGGAGGGACTAGGGATGGAAGTGGACTCCATGCTTGGTGCTCTGTATGAGTGTATGCTCTGTGCCTGGACTACTGATGGCCCATGTATGATGCTCAATAAGACTAAGCACCTTAGACAGTGGGGAAAATGATGATATTGGACAACTGTGTAAATGTCTTGTTTGAGCCACAAAAAAATAGACTTCGCCCTGCAAAAGAAATGTATATTCTTTGACATTCATCACCATCAGGAACACTTGACTTGATACCTCATAGGATCTGGGGAGGATTACATTAATTTAATGTATGTAAAGCACATGGAACAGTGCCTAGAACACTGTAAACACTCTGTAAGTATTCATTACTGCACTAGGCTATTTATCCTCAATATTATTTCAATAAAGGCTTGTTAAATGTTTCAAAAGTATAATTCAGATTGTCCTTCCACTAATCTGAATTAGAAGACTTTGATAGTTTGATACAGTCTAAACACATTAAAAATTATAAATGTTTAAAACTCTGCTTAAATTGCCTCTGTTAAAGGGATGACATATAGACTGGTTACTAACTTCTAAAGGAAGATAACTAATTTATCTAACCTGTTATCTTTTTTTTTTTTTTCCTGCGGTACGTGGGCCTCTCACTGTTGTGGCCTCTCCGGTTGCGGAGCACAGGCTCCGGATGTGCAGGCTCAGCGGCCATGGCTCATGGGCCCAGCTGCTCCGCGGTATGTGGGATCCTCCCGGACCGGGGCACGAACCCGTGTCCCCTGAATCGGCAGGCGGACTCTCAACCACTGCGCCACCAGGGAAGCCCTAACCTGTTATCTTTTAATCTTCAAAATTAGACTGAATAATATGTACTTCAACACTTTACTGTAAGTATTCTATCATCTTTTTCCCTGAATGAGTATTACACATGAGGAAATAAGGAAAAGAATAAATAAGCATTTCATACCTTAAATGAAGCCACAGCTTTATCATAAGCTTTTATCAATGCTGTATCATCCCAAATGTCAGAATCATCACTCTGGGAAGGGTAAAGAATAAAAACAATTCATGTTTGGTTGGATTTCATCAAAAATGTGTTAGTAACAAGTAATAAGAGCTATCTTAATTCAGACATAATGAAATTACATTAAAAATGGGTATTTTAAATCCTAAATAAACCACAAGAAGCCTACCTGCTTAGAGATTATGGGACATTACCCCCAAAACTAGACATACGTAAATGTTCTAAGAGTGCCATGAAGTAAACACTCCACAATTTAATCCCTATCCACCAACCATAAGTGGATCTGCTCAAGGGTAATCCATGTTTCAGTCTTTTCTAAGAGCAGATAAAGGGTTTAGTTTGGCAGAGCGGGAAAACAACCAGCCACCAGGGATTTAAGACATATTGTCACACAAAAGAATAACATAAAATGAATATGATAAAATATTAAAACATGAAGTACAAACAAAAAGTACAAATTCAGAAGTGGGAAGGAGAGGCTGAGAAACACTCTTGCCATAAACCCTCTCCCGGTGTGGAGACCCCCAGTCAGGAGTGAACTCACAACCTGGAGCTTTTACCTGAGGAGCAACGGGTCTGAACTCCAAATTGGGCACCCTAGGTTTTAAGAGCAGCACCTGAGAGATGAGTCCCCAAAACATCTAACTTTAAAAACCAAGGGGATTCATGTCCGCGAAACCCACGAGGGAACAGGAACTGAAAGGGTTCCCATGCTTGGAACCACTCCTCCCCTCCAACGACCCAGCACAGAAGCAGCTGATTGAGAGGCACCCAGACTTTCTGTCAAAGAGGCTCACTTATCGTAAAGTGCTGACCTGCAGAGTAGGCATTTAATTTAACATACACCTAGGGACCTGCTGGGACACTAAGGACGGAGGCTAGCAGCACCATCTTTATGCCATCTGCCTCACTCCAGCCAGCAAGGGCCATCTTTGCCCTCTGCTGCTCTCCACAGCAGCAGTAACTCCCAGAGGGGAGCTTTTATGCACATCTGATGTCCCAGTTTTTACGTCTGGTGTCCTGGTTTTTACAGCTGCAGCCCAGGGTGGGGCTTACTGTGTTCTTGGGTCCCCTGGGACTGTTAACAATCAAAGACACAGTCCCAGTTTTTATGTCTGGTGGCTTGGTTTTTACAGCTGCAGCCCAGGGTGGGGCTTACTGTGTTCTTGGGTCCCATGGGGCTGTAACAACCAAAGAGACAGTCCTTGGCAGGCTACCACCCCCAGGAAACTGCACAGACAGCAGACTGAAACACACACCATTCTTTCTGCGAAAAAGGCCTATTTGCTTATAAAGGAAATTAGTCTTGAGGAGGAGGCTTCTAGTTTGGTGCATAGCTAGGGATCTACAAAGATGCTCAGAGGCTACTGGATGCAACATCTGCACTCTCTCTCTGCCTGGCTCAAGCTCACTGTATCTCCCAGAAAGGCGCTTAATGTAAAATGTGACATCAAAGACAAAATGTGGAGGGGAGTAAAAATGTAGAGTTTTAGAATGAGTTCAAATTTAACTTATTATCAACTTAAAATAGATGGCAATAAATATAAGTTTTTATATGTAAAAGACTCATGGTAACCACAAGGCAAAAATCTATTGGAAATACACAAAAGATAAAGAGAAAAATATCTAAGCATACCATTAGAGAAAATGATCAAACCACAAACGAAGAGAGAGGAAAGAAGGAAACAGAAGAACTACAAAACCTCCAGAAGAAATTTAACAAAATGGCAATAAGTACATACCTATCAATAATTACTTAAAATATAAATGGACTAAATTTAAATTCTCCAATCAAAAGACACAGAGTGGGGTGGGAGGGAGGGAGACGCAAGCGGGAAGAGATATGGGAATATATGCATATATATAACTGATTCATTTTGTTGTGAAGCTGAAACTAACATACATTGTAAAGCAATTATACTCCAATAAAGATGTTAAAAAAAAAAAAAAAAAAAAAAGAGTGGTATAAACTCAGTCTTATCTCCATGGCCACTTTACAGTAGCAATGTGTATTCCATTTTTAAGATACTAATCAAATTTTAGTTAAAATAGTAACATGTATTCTCAGTAACAATACTATAAATGATCTGTTTTGCACTCACTGTAACAGTAAAAACATATATTCAGTGGTGTTATTATTATTTTAAATATTTAATTGTTTTTGTTTATGTTTCAAAATGCAGCAATAAAATTTACTTCAATTGCAATCACCCATGCAACTACAACTTTTCTTATAATTTGCCATAAATAATAAATAATGCAGTGCCTATAAATGCACAACAATAAAAAAAAAAAAAAAAAAAAAAAAAAAGACAGAGAGTGGTTGAATGGATAACAAACTAAAACTCACCTATATGCTGCCTACCGGAGACTCACTTCAGATGTAAGAACACACATAGACTCAAAGTGAAGAGGTGGAAAAAGATGTTCCATGCAAACGGAAATGAAAAGAAGGCTGGGGTAGCAATACTCGTAAGACAAGTAGACTTTAAAACAAAGACTGTAATAAAAGGTAAAGAAGAGCACTACATAGTAATAAAGGTGTCAATCCATGAAAACGATACAACATTCAAACATACTAATGCACCCAACACAGGTGCCCCTAAATATATAAAGCAAATATTAACAGACCTAAAGGGAGAGACAGACAATACAATAATGGTAGGGAACTTTAACACCCCAGCAACAGATATATCATTCAGATAAAAAAATCAATAAGGAACGGGCTTCCCTGGTGGCGCAGTGGTTGAGGGTCCACCTGCCAACGCAGGGGACGCGGGCTCGTGCCCCAGTCTGGGAAGATCCCACATGCCGCAGAGCGGCTGGGCCTGTGAGCCATGGCCGCTGAGCCTGCGCGTCCAGAGCCTGTGCTCCGCAATGGGAGAGGCCACAACAGTGAGAGGCCCACGTACCGCCAAAAAAAAATTAAAAAATCAATAAGGAACCATCTGCCTTGAAAGATATGTCAAATCAGATTAACTTAATGGAAAAATACAGAGCAACAGAAATACACATTCTTCTCAGGTGTGAAAGAACATTCTCCAGGATAGATCACATGTCAGGACAGAAGTCTTAATAAATTTAAGAAAATGGAAATCATATCAAGCATTTTGTCTGACCACAATGTATGAAAGCAGAAACCAATTATAAGAAAAAAACTGGAAAATTCACAAATACATGGAGATTAAACAACATGCTACTGAACAACCAACGGGTTAAAGAAGGAATCAAAAGAGAAATAAAAAATACCTGATACAAATGAAAATAGAAATATAACGTACCAAACTTAGCAAAAGCAGTTCTAAGCAGCAAGTTCATAGATAAATGCCAATATCAAGAAACAAGAGGACTTCCCTGGCGGCACAGTGGTTAAGAATCCGCCTGCCAACAGGTTCGAGCTCTGGTCCGGGAAGATCCCACATGCCGCGGAGCAACTAAGCCCGTGCGCCACAACTACTGAGCCTGTGTTCTGGAGCCCTTGAGCCACCAAATACTGAGCCCATGTGCCACAACTAGGGAAGTCCGTGTGCCTAGAGCCTGTGCTCCACAACAAGAGAAGGCACTGCAATGAGAAGGCTGTGCACAACAAAGAGAAGCCACCGCAATGAGAAGGCTGTGCGCAACAAAGAGTAGCCCCTGCTCGTTGCAACTAGAGAAAGCCTGCGTGCAACAATGACGACCCAACACAGCCAAAAAGAAAGAAGAAAAAAATCTCAAACAACCTAAGTTTCACCTAAGTATTAGGAAAAGAGGAACCCAATGAAACTCAAAGTTGGTAAAAGGAATGAATTAACAAAGATCAGAGTGAAAAGAAATGAAACAGAAACTAAAAGACAGTAAAAAAGATCAATGAAACTAACAGTATTTTCTTTAAAAAGATAAAATTGACAAACCTCTAGATGGACTCACAAAGAAAAAAACATAGGACTCAAATAAATATAATCGGAAATGGAAGTGGAGACATTACAACTGATACCACAGAAAATACAAAGGATCTTAAGTAACTACAGTCATCCCTCAATATCTGCAGGGCACTGGTTCCAGGACCCACCACGGATACCATTGACGCTTGCTCAAGTCCTTTATATAAGATGGCATAGTATTTGCATACAATCCTGCATACTTTATTGTTAGTAACACCTAATATAATGTAAATGCTATGTAAATAGTTGCTGGCATGCAGCAAATTCAAGTTTTGTTTTTTGGAACCTTCTGGAAATATTTTTTTTTACCCAAATATGATTGATCTGAAGTTGGTTGAATGTGCAAATGTGGAACCTTAGGATATGAAAGGCTGACTGTACTATGAACAATTATATGCCAACAAATCTGACAGCCTAGAAGAAATGGACAAAATTCAAAGAAACATACACCTTACCAAGAGTGAATCATGAAGAAACAGAAAATCTCAATAGACCAATTACTAGTAAGATTGTTAGAGGCTTTTGACTATTAATTCAAACAAAAGCTCAAGACCAGAGAGCTTCACAGGTCAATTCTTTCAAACATTCAACTAAGAATTAATACTAATCCTTCTCAAACTTTTCCAAAAAAAATAGAAGAGGAAGGAACACTTCCAAACTCATTTCATGAGGTCAACATTGCCCTAATATCAAAACCAAACAAGGACAACACAAAAAAAGAAAACTACAGGCCAACATCCCTGATTAACACAGATGTAAAAATCCTCAACAAAATATTAGCAATCCGAATTCAACAACACATTTAAAAGAATCTTATACCGTGATCAAGTGGGATTTATCACAGGGATGCAAGGACGGTTCAACATTCACAAATTAATCTACGTGATACATCACGTTAACAAAAAGAAGGAAGAAAATCATATGATCATCTCAATAGATGCAGAAAAAGCATTTGACAAAATTCAATATCCATTTATGATAAAAACTCTCAACAAAGTGGGTATAGAGGGAACATACCTCAACATCATAAAGGCTATACATGACAAACAGCTAACATCATCCTAAATGATGAAAAGCTGAAAGCTTTTCCTC